CCTGTGGCAGCCACCCGCAAGGCAGAGAGAAAGGCATATCCTCATTTCTTCCACTGACCAAAAATCACTTGGTATCAATACAATAAGTGCATGTTTTCGTGTCTGTTAATACCTGGCATCACTGTGACATCTTACTCGGGACTAATGGAGAATTTGACGTACGCCAGAAAACAAACCCGTATGTTGTGTGTCTCTCCGGTTCTTCTGGAGAACAGGAGACACCGCTGTCTGAAGTTCCTTGCCTACCTTTGGCCTGTAAATGCTTCTGGAGCAAGCATCTGTACCTCAGAGAACAGAGTCGCTGCAAAGACTTTAAGATGCTCTATTTCATGGGTGTAAAACTTCACTTCCAATGAAATATTCTTCTTGTGGCAACATTTAGCTTCATACAGAGGGTGGATCACAAGAGTCACTTTGTAACGCTGACACTGTGACCTAACGTTTTGTGTGTATATGTGTGTGCGCGCGTGCGTATGTGTGTGTGTGTGTGTGTGCGTGCGTGTGTGCATGCGTGCACACACTTTTATGATTTCACCGTGCTGATTTTATTCAGGTCACTTGGTCCTGGTTTTGCTGCTTTGCCCAGCAAATGAAGCCTAGCTTCCAGACCTGCTGCTCTCCTCCCCTTGTTTCTCACTGTCCATAGTCCGGCTGCCATAACACGTCCCATCAGTAGTGATGTTGTCTGGCAAGAGAACTGACCTGGATTCCCAAAGTGATGTTGAAAATAGCAATAAGTCAGGCGATGCCCAACCCTGAGTGTAAATACTGCGGTTAGGCAGTCAGGATGGGAGACAGCAGTGTGGGAGGTCCTGGGGTAAGGGTAGGAGCATCTGCACTGTTAATAAGTGTGGCCAGCTGTCCCCTCCAGCCCTGTGCAAACGTTAGCAGCCAGGAGCTACTCTGGAATAACAGAAAAATAAACTCAAGAAGCACATGCAAGTACAGCGTGGCCTTGAGAAATAGCTGACCTTCAGCAGCAGTGGGGGACACAGATAGGACCTAGTGCTGGGTTCACCCTGCAGAGGTTCTTCTTTATGCCTGCTGTCCCAAAGGTAGGAAACCGGGGCAGATCCTTAGCCTCTTGCAAATGGACATAATCCATCCAAGTCAGAGAGGTTGTGGGAGCAGTGCTACCTTATAGCAGCCAAGGATTTGCTCTGTAGGGCCTGATTCCTGCATAGGCTCGATATCTATATCGTCTCTCGGTCCTGAGCTCTCCCCCAACAACTAGCAACCAGTGACTTGCAGAACTGGTGGACCTCATACAAGGCTTTCCAGGAGCTGTGTACATGTTGCCCACAAGGCCATTGATTTATTAAACAGTGGTGTTAGTTAATTGCTGTGATGTGAATGTCAAGGAGATCATTCCTCTTCTTCCTTGTACTTACTTGATATCAGGCAACCCTGACGTCATTGGACTGGCTTTGAATCGGAGCAGCTGTAAGCAAGAGGATAACTCATAGTCAGCAGCCCAAGCAAAGAAGCAGTGATCCCTTTGTCACACACAGTGACGCTCCGTGGAAAAGCCACCAGACAAGGTCACACCAGAGCTGTCATGTCAAGCATGTGCCATTCTAGTCACAACTCTGGTTTGACCTCTCTAGACTGAATAGAGGCAAGGGTTTTTTGTTCGGCTCTTCTGGGATCTCTTTTATTGGACCAACCATATAGATGGGAGACGTGTTTCGAGACGTTTGACAAACTTCCGGGCACAAAGGACCCTTCTGCAGGTCTGAGGAAGAAGCAAGGACAGGTCAAGCTAAATAAAAAGAACCATCCTGGGTTACGATGACACTCAACCCCTACTAACCCGTGAATGCGGAGTATGGCAACAGGAAGGAAATATCAGTCGGGGGCATCCCGGACGTTTGACACTGGCACAGCTGAAGGATGGGAGACGTTTCATCCATGCAAGGTGCCCATCACGAAAAGAAGTGAGCGGGCACTTCGCTCCCCACCAACTCCAATGGAAACCCTGTGTGCCTCTGGATCTCCCCCCAAGCGACTTGCCCACAGGATGTCCGTAACAGCCAGAAATGAATCTCCTAACCACTGACCATCCTTCCTCCGGTCTCAGACTGTCTGGGGCCCGTTCATGAGGTTCTGCTCAGACGCAGGATGTGCCCTTCCTCCCCAAACCAAGCAGGCAGGGATGGGGCACCCGTGGCCTGCCTTGGAAAGAGCGTGTCTTTATGGAAAGAAGAGGTATAGGGAGATCATGGAAAGGGAGAGGGCACTCCTGAGGACAGGGGAGAGTGGGAATTGCTGGTGCTGTCCTGAACATCACCTGGAGCCCTAAAGTAGATCCCGGTGTCCGTGGGGCAGTTCCCTTGTCCTCCGTTACTTATGCTGCAGTCTCTGAATGAGTTTCTGCCTTGATCAGCTGGGAAGGAAGGGGAAGACTGAAGGCAAAGCTGCTGGCAACCAGAACAGCTGCTGGTCCCTGGTGACCATAAACAAGTGACTTCGGGCTCTAAGCTCCTGCGCTGCCTCCAACTTCTGCCAGTGTCCTCGGGGGTCCGTTGCCTCGCTCTCCTGGGTGCCACCGGAGAGGTGAGCAGGTTTTGTGAGGCCCTGAGCGGGAGTCCAGAGCGGATGGAGCTTGTTGTGATCCCAAACACAAAGCAAACAGCCTGGCATGACCACGTCCCCACAGAGAAATGCGCCGTTTGTCCCAGCCTGTGCACCAGATGTTTGTGCCTGTCTTGCAAGCGGCACAAGGAATTGCCCGTGTTTGTGCAGCAGGAAGAGGTTGATCTTGCCCTGGTCCTACGTGAGCTGATGCTGCTGCTGTTTCTCCCTACCACCACTTCTCTTCTGCTCAGCCGCAGCGTGGCCTGGGCAAAGGGCCTAGCTGCGGTGTGGTGCAGCACAGAGTAGGAGAAGCCCCCTACGGCTGCCGACGACCCCACTCTGCAGGCCAGATCCAATGGCTCCGTGGACTGGATCTGGCCCATTGACCAGAGGTTGCCAGCCTTTGCCCAAGACCTCAGTTGAATGTCGAGTGAGTTGGCTTGTGTGATACAGACTCCTTTTCAGTCACACCAGAAGTTGTCTCATATTTTTAGTGGGCTTCTGAAAAATGGGAGAGAGTCAAGTTTCTCTCCGTGTTTCCAGAAAGGCAGCATTTTGCCCAGAACCCATAAAGGAGAAGCTGTCCTGGCTAATGATGCTGTGTACCCAGAGCCGGTCAGCAAAGCCAAGGGAAATACCTGCTCTTTCCCAGAGAAACCCGTTAGTGCAGCAAGACCGCGAGGAAGGGGGATATGGATAAGTATGAGTCTAGCCAGCACAGAAAAGGGTGGTTGAGAGCGCTTCTCTTGCCTGTTAGCATCGTTCCATAGGGGACACAGTAATACCACCTATAGCATGCGGGGAATTTCCCGTGTCCAGATGGTACCTACCCATGGTACCTTAACAGAAGAGCTGGTGCTGTTATTTAGGAACGAGGTGGTGTTGGCACGTGAAAGCTTATTTTGCTGGTCTCCCAATTCTCCACTTGACCCTCAATGTGGTTAAAAAATGTCTGCGTTGCTTCGCAGTGGCTCATGGCCTCATGAGTGAAACCCTCCTTGGGAGGAAATTTGGGGGGGAATTAGCTGAATCCTTTGACTGCCAAAAAACACATGTAAGTAGTCAGTGCTCCATCCCATGTTGCACTCAACACTGGCCATGTGGGTAACCTTGTTATATGACGGGTCCAAAGGGTGGCCCCCGTCCTGGTCTCTTGCTGTATCACCCTGTGCATTGGCTGTGGTCCTGTAGACAACGTAATGCTTTTCATGACAGTATTTGTATTTTTTTAAATGTGAATGGGGAGATAGTGTGCAGGTCCTTGTCTCACAGGGATGCGTGTCTTCCATTCAGATCAGGGTTTCCCCTGGTTTCGTCAGACATCTTTGAGATGTTCTTGAGAAAAATAAATAAATAAATAAAGTGAATCAGATGTATTTATAAGGGAAACAAAAACCTGCTGCTCCAATGCCTTTGTAGGAGTATTTTTAACAAAACATTTTTTCAAAATAAATGTGAATTGTAAAGTTTGAAGCATTTGCTTGTGGTTTGCTTTCCTCACTGTTTCTTCCATCATTTCTCCTTTTGAGTTATGGCACTCAGGAGAAACAGCAGCTTAGGATATCACCAACCCGGCCAAGCAGGTTAGCCTGTGTGGTTATTAAATCTTAAAAGATGAACCAGTTGGTGATTGATTAGTCACAGGGGTGAAAGATGCAGGAATGGGAAGGATCAGAGCTCTGCTAACTTGGCCAAGAGCTCCAGACAGGCGCTAAGCTGGTGAGCAAGGTCACGTGCACGTGCCAGGGGAGCAAACCCAGAGGCTTTTCAAACCATCATCCCAGGGGCTGGGGATGAAGAATTCCTCAGTAAAAAACTACCTTTACAGCCAGAGACTGAAACCCTTTCCCTCCTCCGCACACGCCTTTCATGTGGTCACAGTTTTAGGACTAGCTGGCCATCCTCCACTATGCAAAATGCCCCCTCTGTGGCCCAGTGCAACACGAAGTGGGCATGTTTGGTTGCAAGAAGAAGTGCCCGAAATCAAAGGATCTGGAGCAGAAAGAAGTGGAGGACATCATCTGAGCTGGCCCCTGCAAGCAGGTTCCTGTGGCTTCTGAATGTCATCTTCTTGGCAGGGTAGATCATGCTCCCTGTGGCAGCTTGGTACAGGCCAGAGGAAATGTATGCCGTCCCAGAGAAACCCAAGCCCAGCACACCAAAGAGGGGCTGCAAAGAATGGTCCCAGCTGGTGGAAGCCAAAGACGGAGTGGGAAAGTATCGCGCCCACCTTCTCCTTGCCAGAAGGGGCAGCCCGCTGAACCGCCAGGTCTACAGGTAACAATGGTGTCTAAAGGGTGTAAGGCGGTTTGGTTTCCTGTGGCATTGCTGCCACCAGATTATGCTTCCAGGCCATGGGGCAG